CTAGCATTAAAGCAGTGGCGCAAGACGCATGATAAATACTCCAAATATAGATGACCAGTCCTAAATAAATAGAAGAACTCTCGACTTGATTCCAAAAGAGATTTGCTCTGAGCCCCGAATCTTAACCAATTATCTAATGGCATTCATAAAATATCAAGCCTGATAAAGGTTGAAATAATGAAATAAAAACTACTATTATTATCTTTGTACATATGAGAAAATATTTATTACAGAAACAAAGATGATAGATGTACATAATAAAACATTTAAAACAGTAAGTCAGGGGGTTTATATTTGTACATTTCACAAGTCTCATTGAGATCTGACGAGATTTCCTATCTCTTATAGTCCATAACTCCTGGGCCATACAAAAAGTCCCTAGTTTATACCATAGGTTATTGCTTGTAAAATAAAACCTTATGTACAAGAGGTATCTATAGTCCATTTTGTAGTAAATATTAAAAAATTTCAGTTAGGTTTTTATATGAATAGGTCACAAAACTAAAGGGGCCATAGCGACTCCTTTCATAATTTGGTATGGTGTAAAAACACCTTTAGAAAAATCCTAATGGGTTCTTCAAAAACCTTCAGAATTTTTTGAATTTTTAATTGAATTTTTGGGCATTTATAAAAAACAATTGGATATAGGATTCTTAGATAGAAACAGGTATATATATAAAAAAAGATCACAACTTGGTTATAACTCTTATCTGGCCAACTTCCATCAATAAAAGCTATCATTATTAGGCAAGTTTTTGACTTGTCAATTTAGCAAACAAGTCACATTGGTCATAGTGTAGCCCAGAAATAAGTTAAATCAAATAATATAACGTACATTATAATGCATATATAATAAAAAGCATAATTTTGTGACATACTAATATACACAACAAAATTAGGAATAAAATGATCAAAGCTTTAACATAATCTAAAGTACAGTAATATTTGTGCAAGCCTTCTTCAGATTAATGAATGTACATAGGAGCAGTCCAAGCTGGAGCAATTTTAATATAGCTACTTCAATTAGGGTCAAATGACAGCCCTCTTCTACGTTTGTTGATTTACCTTTTGACCTAACCTGGTAAAAACAGTGTCACTATGTGCCAGCGCTTTAGAGGGTAGAAATTTTATTGGTTAAAGCAGAGACCAACATTGAAAAGGACAGTTGTTAGACCCTAACTAAAGTGGCTAAGACTGTTTTGAGAATAAATCGCCAGGTCCGTAACTTTTTTGTCAAATTCGGCATGAGGCATTTGCCTTGATGTAGTAAACGCCCTGAAATCCACTTTATTTTTGAATGGAATAAATAATAATGGAAACTATATAAGCATTTTTTTTCACATTGTGCTCATAGAAAATGAATCCAAATATCTTATCAAGTATTCCATCTTCAATTGGGTCAAAAGAATTTCAAAATTGTTTTGATTGATTCATTCAGGCATGAAACTAGCTTTTGATACATTCATAACTAATACTCAAGCATTATTCACAGCATTGTAATAATATTCATTTCTGTGGCTACATTCTTATTTAACCATAATTACAGACAACTCTTACAGGGATTGTAAAAGGATTTATAGATTTTTGTATTGGGAACACTGATAGCATCAATTTGCACAATTCAAATTTTCAATCAAATGTCTGTGGTTCTTGCAATTCCACTTAAACTATGTGTTTTATGACGTCACTATTGCAAAGGTCCTTAAATAACAATAGCAGCTTGATGATATCAGTGTTCACAATACATAAATTTTCAAAACCTCTTTACAATCCCTTTAAAGTCATAAATAATTATAATCAAAATAATAGTAATATATGTTATTATTGCCACTTAATAGAGCTTAAATTCAGCTATCTGTACTATTTTTAAGCAGGAATTAACCCTGATTTCTGGTTTGTCTATAAATATCTAAATATCCAGAATATGTAAGTTCTTACATATTGCAGTTATTACTAAAATTATCTGCATGGGAGAATCTTAATAAAAACCTTTTTCTTAAATTGTAGACAAACAAAAAACAGCATTTTCATTCTGAAAAGTGATAGTTATGGCTTTATTTGACCTCAGCTATCAACTGGGAAAGTAACATTAATACAACTATTATTCTGTCTTGAAGCCACATTTGCATGAAATAAACTTTTAGACAGGTAACCTTTTCTTTATGGTTGTATTATGTATTGTGAGACAGGTTTCAAGTTCAAAACAATATAGACACAAATTTGATTTATACTTTATCACAATTCAAAATAGTTCACATTATTTTTGCTAAGGGTTACAGACAACAAAAACGTTTTCTGCTTTTAGTCAATTTTTAAAGGAACACTACCTCTTAGAGTGGACATTAAATTTAAATTAGGTCACCAAGTGTATATATTCATCAGGTGCCATGACTAAAGAATATAATCTCTATATAAGATGATATATCCATTTAACTAAAAATGATTGAGAAGAGCTTCTAAGCATGTTTCAAAACTACTAAGTTTAATGAATTATAACAGAATATTATGGATTTATTGGATTATATAGGGATTCTGTTATATAGTTATGACACCAACAACAGTACCAAGTTCAAAATTTCAATTTTTTGGTTATCCTAAAAGGTAGTATAACTTACAACATCACTCTATTCATAATAATATATTCTTGATTTATCAAGATGCACAAGGTTTTTGGATCTAACCCTTGATCTTACAGGCAGATATTCTAATAACACATGAATAAACCCAATATCACTAAATCTTAAATAAACTTAATTTGAAAAATTGAATTATTTAGATTAAGCATTACAATTCACAATATATTTTTGGAGCAGAGGTTTGGTGAGAATTAGGTTTGATGTGTTACAAATTTTTATAGACAATTTGCAGGTGGTTGGCACAATTAGCAAAACGACTCTAAATGAGCTTAATTTCCCATATAATCAAAGAAAAATTTACTTCTAGTTTCCAAAAACCAATTTTACTACATCATACCACATAAGATAGTTAAAGAGATTGTAAAAAGGTACATTTTTTATGTGTATCGGGAACAATCATAGCATCAATTTCCACCATTCCAATTTTCAATCAGATGTCTGTGATTCTTGCAATTCCACTAAAACTAAGTGATTGATGATGTCACTAATCACAAAATATACTTTATCACATAAGGACTTCCCGATTAGTGACGTCATAAAATTCTTAGTTTTAGTGAAATTGCAAATTGGAAAATTCGAATGGTGCAAATTGATGTATCATTGGCCCTGATACACATACAAAATTAAGAAAACCTTTTTACAATCCCTTTGATGTAACGTGGAATATCAGAAAAATCAATTCTTGGACATTAACCCCTGAAGTTCTGCTAATAGACTTTTAGACTTGACAAAATTCAAGACTGTTTAAGTACAGATATCATCATACCAGTAACTTGAAACATATATATTGCGTATCAAATGAATATGAGCTTAGAAGATTTCAATTCAGAAGACATACCAGTATCTAGATTCTAATGCTTTTAATCAAGTCAAAGATAATTATACACATCAGAGGATGTTATCAAGAGAAAAGCAAGCCTAATGTATGTGGGGATTACAGCTTATTAAGCCCTGTAATACCAAACTTTGAAAGCATCAATTTTCTTCCGCTCCAAATTCATGAATTTGTTATTAGAAGTATATTTGTTGAAAGGTACATTTGTTGATTCTCTTCCCTTTTTTTGCCAAATTATTTTTTGTAAATTATCAAAAACCTTTAATTTTACGACTGATTATAATTCTATTGTGTTCTCATTTTGTTTATCAATTGGCTAGATTAATCTTCTTTTTCTATAAATCATTATAATCAAAATCATTGCATGATAATCACTGTTAAATCATCGCATAAGCTTACTTTTCAAGGCAATAACAGTTTAACAGTGTTTTTTTAAATCCCTAGTCCATCCCAAGAAATCACCATCTACTAAAATTAACCCCATATGATTACTAGTAATTCCACAGAAACATTCTCAGTAACATTCTCAGATGTGTATATATCTTTGATTGCCTTAAATACACATGATTTTTATCAATAGGTTGATATGATAATTATTGTTTCTAATAGTTACTAGTATTCAATAATCTGATAGTATATGGTTGATATACCAGTAGATGTTATCACGTTGAATGTAAAGCTTTATTATCAAATCCATCCCCTGAAAAATATTCAGTATATCCTATTATTCAATAATACATGGTGGTATCATGGAACTTTTTCAAACAATAAAGATGAAGTACCAAAAAGAAAAGGTGCCAGTTTTTAAGAGGCATCACAGAGATAAAAGGCACCTGACTTTTTTTTAAAGAGGCATTATGCTTTTTTTTAGTTTGAAATATTTTTTTTTGCTCAAATGTTAGAAAAATATACATCAAAATCTAGAGAAAGCCCAAACTATTGAAAACACTATAATTCAGGCCAATTTTCCTAATGAAAATCTTGCAAACCTTCCCTTTAACATTTAAAATTTTTAATGTAATGTAATGTTATGAATGCGGATTCTATAAATATTAAAAGCGACAAAAATAACCAATATTAGTAATAAAGAAAATATTATAGGCATGAGCAATAAACTGAGGTGAAATTAATTGTGCTAAGTATTTTTTAAAAACACCAAATTTTATTATGTATTTATAATGAGACCAGTTTTGAGAAGGCTTTTTATGTTCATTAATGTAATCAAGGATTAAAACAAATTTAGTTAATATTTCCAAAGGGTTTTAAAGTTTCCAAAAGGTTTCCAAAACTGTGAACAACTATTTGCCATCACTTCTCAAAATCTCTGCCAATGAATTTTAATATTTGCTTAATCTTGCCGAAAGACACTAGAAACTTTTCAATGAAAGAGTTAGAAAGTTTGTAAATTGTAGGTTTGATATTATAAACATAACAAAACCTAACAAAGACAAGGTGAAGAAAAATAGAATGAATTAAAAAAAAGACTCACTAGAAAGAGAAAGAGGCAGTGCAGGTGTTAATTCATCCCTTCACATACCTGATTCATTGCCTTCTTCCATCCATCTCTGTCTATCACCTAATAGATTATCAGAATCTATATCCACATTACGTGTAGGGAAGTTTACACCATCTCCAATACTGTTAGAATAAAAAATAATAACATATCAATAATAATAATAACAAATTTCAAATTAGACAGCTTATTTTTTCTGAATCTGACAGCAATACACTTTTGGGTCATTAAAAATGAAGAGCTAGAGGAGTCAACAAATGATGCACAGCATGTGCACACGTTGACATGTATGAAGTTTTTGACACACAAATTTTGTTTTCAGTTCCTGTCGTGTGTTAACCAAACATAAACGCAACTGTGATATTAATACGATCAATCTGAATAAGGTTACAATTTTGTTCCTCTTTTTATTGATATTTTTCATCTCCACTGTAATCTAACAAGTTTTCTACTGCAGTCCTGTTCTACTGATATTATCTATCACCCAACAAAGTCTGTCACATAGAATCAGTTTCTTGATGATGATTGTAGGATAGCTAGACCCAAATTGGTCTAAGTTGTAGAACAATGGTGATATAACATAATATGTATCTTGATAGGTGCGGTGAGGGCTAAGCTTAGAAGAATTACAGGTTGATGATAGCTGATTTTTGATTGGGTGCAAAATTGACTGAAGTGAACAGTGCACAAGCAATTTTATATCAAATGGAGAAAAGATTGTATTCCTGCCCCTTTCCAGTGCCAGAAAAACCTCAGAACAAGTAAAGTAAAAAAACAATGTCATTTTTCATGATAGAAGTGAAATTCAGAAATTTCAAGTAATTTCCAAAGCAATGATGGTAAATATTCAGACATATAACCATTAAAAGTTGAAAAAGTCCAACTCAGGACTAAGATATGAATGCACATATGTCTCTATGGACATTGGACACAGACCAACACCAGAGAAAAAAAAATACCCTAGCAACCAAAAGATCCTATGGTTGTATATGTTTACTATGTTAATTAAAAGTAAATACGTAAGAAATATACAATATGGTATAGCTGACCTTGGGGTACTGGTACTGCCCATTGTCTGATAACCAACCATAGGTGGATTCCGCGTTATAAATGACACCCCATCACCTAGACTGGAAGGGGGCAGAAATTGATTTTTTATTATTCTGTGCAGATATTTTGAACTTTCTAATGATTATCTTTCAACATGAAGGACTACCCTTGAAATTATAAATAAACTGTTCTAATCCTATATCTTAATCTGCAAGGGGAACAGTTCATTAAAAGGAATAGGGGAATTGCAAAACTATACTCAACCTTTGCCTTTAAAGGGATAATAAAGAGGTTTTCTAAATTTTGCATCAATTTGCACCATTCTGTGGTTACTGTAATTCCACTAAAACCAAGTGTTTGATGACTTCACTTATCACAAAATATGCTTTATCACATATGGCCCTTTGTGATCAGTGACATCATCAAACACTTGGTTTTAGTGGAATTGCAGGAACTACAGACGTCTGATTAAACATAACTATGGTGCAACAGTGACCTTGTTATACATAAGATCTATAGAAAACCTCTTTACTATCCCTTTAACATAATTCCTTTCATATACTATATGGTAATATTTTTTTTTCAAAATGGGCAAAAGTGTGCATTCAATAATACAATGATTTTCAAATCTGCTAAAAAGCTGCTATGAAGACTGATATTCCACAATAAAATTGTCAAAAATAAAAAAGCAAACCAGATATTCCCTCTTTTTTAATTCCTTTTTAATTTAAGCAGACACAGACCAGATAAAGCAAATCAAGCAGAAGTGAAAAGGGAGATGCAAGGGAGGAAACTCTATTTAGAAAATAGTAAGGTACAAAACATAGCAGGCAACTGTACTAGTCAAAATTTCATTCATAAACTTAATAATAGAGCTCCATTTCCAAATAGGTACCAAATACAAATATCTCCGATAAAATATTAGTATAACAGTGGAAGCGAATGAAATTTAAGTTTATTAAAATTCTAATTCTAATATTCACTGCTATGGCACCATCTTCTTTTCTGTCCTGGTTTATTTCCCTCTCATGTCAGTTAAAAAATTTGACACTCTCTTCGACATTATTTTTTACGGGCCCATCTGATGTCATAATTTATTATAAAACGTAACAGAGAGCTGAAATGGAGCTCTATCACACGATCAAACAATTATTTAAATGTTTATTGAAAGAAATTATAAACCTAGCCCAGACAACTCACCTTGAAAATACTGGTATAAACCACTTTACTGGATCTTCACCAAAAACTTCCTTAAAATTACCTTTTGTTCCTAGACTAAAACCATCTTTATCAGCTCCAGATTGGAATATTGGTGCTCTAAATGCCTCTATTAAAATGAAAGGAAAAAACGTTTTGAAGTACATCATTGTAAAACTACTGATGATGATTGAAATTATCAAAAATATTCAAAATATGAAGTTCAAATGTTTCCCAATCTTGAGAACTCTATGGATAGAGAGGTCACCTCTATTCATAATACAGTATTTTGGACACCATCTTCTTTTTTAAGGGACAGTGCTCCATTTTGGGGGGTTGATTTGAGTCTTTAATATATGTAAAAAGTCTTCAGAAGTACTAAAGAAATGTACGAAAATCACATAATTCCTTCAAAAATATCTCAAACTAGGATTTTCTTTTCCTATTTCTATATATGTCTTTTCTATAATATATGACAGTGTCTTAAGAAAAAGGCACTTAAGAAAACCTCGCATATGGTTTGTTTTGTAAACATTCGTGTTGTTTCTAAAGCAAATGACTGTGTTTTGGAAATTCATGATGCATGATTTTGAAACTGATGAGTTTTTAACTCACCTAAAGTTGATCTGTTTTGTAATGTTAGAAATATATGATAACCAAATAAAGATATAAGACTTATACCAAACATTATAGCCACAAAAAATAGAAATAATATATGAAATCTTCCCATTCCATCTTTACTGCCTTCCTGAAAGAGAGAACAGACAGCATTGAATTCGAGTTTGATACCTTTGACCTATGATCTATCATTAGTCAACAATTAATTCTTTTTATTAAAAATATTGATTAATTTAATATTAATTATAATAACTCTAACACAGTGTATGGTTGTATTGTTTCCCAGCAATATACAATGTCCTACATACAATTTCTGACTTTCATCATTATGATACTTTTAAAAAATAACATGTTTTTTAAAATTTATTTCTTTTGAGATCTGATTGGAATATTTAATTAGTGATTTACGTTTAAACAGTGAGTTGGTAGATGTCTATAAAGACTGCCACCTGACAAGTGTTCATTATAAAAATCTGTACAAGCAAGACAATCCTTTCAATCAAAAATCGGGAAGAAAGGTAGTATAGTAGTGGACTCCTCAAAAGAGATGTACCATCAGGTGTTTCAAAAAGAGTAAGCTGTTTTTGCTTCATGCTTGACACCCGCCATTACTACAATGGTCAAAAGCATGAGATACAACTAGATCAATTCATACCTGACCTTACAAATAAGCCAAAATGATAGAAGCAGGTTTATCGTATTTATCAAGGAGGTTTCTTAATACAAGGAAGTGTTCATCAATCTGGTTTGCTATTGATGAATAAAGATGTAGGAGCCAAATATTTCTACATGGGCTAAATTCTGCATCAAAACACTCCCACATTCATTGATAAGGGAGTACCAAAATACAGAGGGGTTGTGTTACCTCTGGGATTTATTTATGATAATGAACATAATTATTACTTACTGTCCAAAATAAAATGAAATATTGTAAAGATGTAGCTGCTATATACATACAATATAATAAACCATAGCCTAAAAACTGTACAAAAAACTTGTAATTTGTAAAACCAACACAATTATTCACCCTGAAATACAGAAAAGAGAAGATTTATCTACTTAAAACTCCAGGATTTCTATCTACTGATGAATCACAAAATTTGTCTTCAAACTTTTTTTGGAATCTAGAAAATATTATATTCTTTGTTTGGCTTTGAGTTGATGAAAATGCCAACTGCAAATGTTAATATGTGTATAATATATGACTTTAGAGAGGGGATTCATTCTGAAAAGATGGTCACATTCACCTAAAATTTATTGTATGAAATCCATGCTATAATAATAACACTTACCATGGACAATGGTGATCCATTTTTTGAACACATCTGTAAAATAAAACATGATGCAAAAAAATTATTAAAAGTAGATAACAGAATACTATTACAGTATCTGACATTGTTTTTGACTGCTTAAAATACAATTAATAAATAATAACCAAATTTGGTCCATTGTTTGGATGTAGTATGACAGAGTTTGATATGGTATGTATCAGACGAAACTTACGCTGAACAAACTGAGCAGTGGTGACATCTATCTGGTTTAATACAATGACATTTTTCACAATATCTTGGAGCTATAAAAATGAACACATTCAATACAATAATTGTAAATAAAGGGCAATGGATATCAAATATTTCTAGATCTAATAGGTTTTGGTGGAAATATCAAATAAAAATTGAAAGCTGTAATTGTTTTTGTGTCTAAATTATAATCCGACCTACAAGAAATAAATTGGCAACTTTGCTAAACCTGTTAAACTAAACGGTATAAAAAACTTAATATAAAACATATCCCCAAGAGAGTATTGTTGCCAATAGAAAATCCTATGGGATTTGACTTCCTAGATTTCTTCTCCTCATTGGGTTAAACAATACAAGTAATGCAATACTGTGTGAAATGAGGGAAATTGTGCTGAGAATGCTGCATAATCCTGCGTTTTGTTATTCATATACTTCAAATGATAATTATACATAATCTTTATTGTGCACAGCCTAAATCACAACCTGCATTCAGTCAACCCTCTTCTTCTCTGATTTACTGTAGCCAAGAAAAAAACTGGGATGGTTTGATAGAAAGTGTCTTAATATTAAATGCTTACCACCAGATAGTGTTCTGTTTAATACAGGTAATGTTTTAGCATAATTAGTTAACAATTCACGTTGTCTGGTTTCACTAGTTTCTCGTTCTAGTTGATCAGCCTCTTCTGGACTTAAATAAAACTGAAAATGGACAAAAAATCTTTAGTTTTAGCAACACTGAAAGATGGATTTCCTTATTTTTTAGTGTCAAATTCAGCGATGAATGAAGTATCATGTATAACACCTCTACTTTCTATTCATATAAGTATTAGCATTAAGCAAGGATGACAGAAAATAATTTAGCAACAAGAAATTTGTGTTTCCATCCATATAACAGCTAATTGCTTTTATCCTTTAAACATTGAGATTTATTTATTGAAGTAATTGTTAACATATAAATATGTTCATTTATTCCATCTCCAATTACTAAATGTCACTCAAGGTCCTTGAGCCAAGGATATAAACAGAAAATTACAGCTTTCTTAAATTGAAAAATTCACTGAAACTCGATCAAATTTCACGCCCAGACAATCAAGGGCAATAACTCCAAAACCATTCTAACTGATAAATATAAAATTTTAAGTTTACTGCTACTGTTTTATATTCAATAATTTCACCCAAGAGGAATTAAATCAATATATTTTGCAAGGAATTTACTTACTGATTTTGGTACTCTACCAAATGGTGTAAAAACTGTCTGCCAATATGACCATATAAACATTATCAATATTGGATGATATAATATTAAATAAATTACTGAAAAATATAAAATGTTGGAATACAACTTAACAATTGATCTATTACTTCTCAGGGACAAATTTAACAACATCACTCAGCACATTCGCGTGCTTCTCTCTTATTGTAATGTAATGATTACAATATCAATTTTCAGAAAGTTTTCACACTAGTCTGGCCGTCGTGACCCAGAGGTTGGGAACTCAGGTATTTAATGAATACATGAATATAAATAAACTTCACAGTTGTAAATTTGGCAATATTATAAAATCGGTGATTGTAACGTTTGACCTTTTCATGAAATAATAGACAATTACTCTGTCTAGAGCAACAGGTTTCTGTAAACCATTTATAGGTTATATAGAATCAAATGATATTTTAAACCACTTGTATGTGTTTCAGGGATATTTATAGTTTCTATTCTGATCTTTTTTAAAAGGGACAGTAATATAAAATGTGAATTAAACAGTCATTACCTTTTTCAGGAATACTATCTACAGCAACTAAAATAAAATAATAAATACCATTATCAAACAAACTCTAGTACATCTATGTGGCTTTGAAAATATCAACAAGTGGTTGCCTAGCAAGATATGCCCACTTTCCTAATACATTTTCAGTACTGGTATATCAAGAGCGGCCACCAATCTGTGTCAAATCATACCAAAAATCTAATTTGTGCACGATATAATAGTTGATTTAATCAAACACACAATATTTAATAAAATTCTGAAATAAACTATCGCATTAACAAGCTAAAAAATTTTGATGCCTTTTTACTAAGTCAAGGACAAAAACTCAGAACCCATTCATCGAAAGATCATCAAATTCGAACTTGTCCAAGATCTCATTAATATTAATGATCACAACAAATTTCATTAAAATCAGATAAAAACTGTTGTCTCACAAGCATTCGTCGGTCGACTCCGGAACATTGGTGACAACAGCAAGTTATCTCGGGGACAACATCGAGGTAACTTGGTGACAATAAATTATTGAAGAATAATGATCTTAACAACGTTGTTTTGCTTTACTTATGTTATAAAATAGAGTTGGGTTCTTTAAATAACAATCAAAGTGCTGACTCAGGATATTAGCAGACGACAGTGTTCACACAACATTATGTAGGCATGAAAATGAGATCAGCGCTATTAAAATCTGACCAATCAGAGAAGAAGTTGAGGGAGAACAGAAATGAAGGACATTGTAAACACAACACATATTGTTCTGCCTCCAACTGTTTGTAGAAGATATACGAACACATTTTTTCTCTGCTACCGGTACTAAATATTCCAAAGAAAGGTTTTCTTTTTCTGTCAGCTTCAATTCATTACTAAAAAATCTAACTCAATTCTGTATTGTCAATATTAATCAAAACATTAATGATATGCTGCTTTCGATTCGCTTGCGAAAGCGTCTACAACTAGTGATTTGATTGGCTGAGATATACAAAAAAGTTATCAGTGCTAATTTTGATTAGACAATATTTAGTTATGAATATGTAATTTCCCTCACTTATATTACCTGCCTCGAGGAAGTATGATAAATACAGGTGTGGTTTGGAAATGATGTTTTATAGTATGAGCTTCCTCTTTCAAAGTTTAAAAGACCTGTAGTGCGATGGTGTCACTGTGACAGTGTGACTGTGAGTAAGCAAATTTTCAGATCGTGTTGTCTACTGTCAGGTTACAGTGTCACTGTCAGGTGATAAAACTAAGTCCTACCCTTCAACAACAGAACTATCAATTCTATTCTATCAGTTTTTAGTTCGTTTTCAGGTAAAGGTTATTTAAAGAAATTTGAAAAATGTTATTATAAGGAACGTTATTGTTATACTTACAAATACACATTTGTACAACATAGGCATAATAAGACCACACAACAATCGCCGAGATAAAAATGACAGGTGACCATTTCACTGCTGAACAGCAAGTGTTCACACACGAGGGTGCCATGACTATTCACAAGTTATAAATGTCGGAATGATTGCCTAATAAAACTACATGAATGAAATAAATATATATCTAAAACCAACGAAATAAAGCTAGATTTCTCGGTCATAACAAAATTACAAAACATTTGACCACCATTTTGTTTCTTAATCGATTAGAAAATGATACTACTTCCGCTGAATGATAGAGACTACCTGAAGTGGGCGGACCCTGGGCTGATCCTTTTAAAGGGGAACGTTTAAGTGGGTCACGTTGATTTCTAACCCTCAATTATGATTATAAATGTATGGATGACTTCAGTACTACCATTTCCATCTCCAGATAAGTAACTACCCTGGGATAGATAAATAGCATCAGATGTCCAAAAAGGGCAAGTAACCTATATTACAGATTCAATTAGGCACAGGTATATTACAAATGCAACATGTGGGTCATCAGGATCGTAAAAAATACAGTACCAGAAAATGCTTAAACTATAAGGAGAAGAGGAACCTTACCATAGCTAAAACTTGCTCTTGGTCTCCAATATATTCTCTTAGCAGTCATTCAACAGAAAGCATAAATTTGCACTGGTCCAAGAAAGCAAGCTGAAAGACATGTCTATATCCCCTTGACTAAATAAAACAAATGTGTAAGGGTACATTATTTTTTTTATTTACAGTACATCTTAAAACATAATGAACCTTTTCCCCCTTACAAGGTAACATATTAGCTGGGAACCATGATGGACAGAACGTTGTAATTGGGGGATTTCTAAAATATAAAACTGTCAAATTGTGAAAACCTCCATAATGTTGTGGTAGCCTTCATCAACAGAGTCATAGCATAGAGTAAATAAATAGTATTTTGTATTCTTCAGGGGCACTTTTCTCTCATCATCCTGAATAGTCGCACCAAAATGTATCACAAATCCAGAAAATTTAGCACATTGCACTTAAGTATAAACCAAAATATTGACAAAAAATGACAATAAGGAACTAATAAAATGAAAAGAATATTGCAACTAACTAAAATAATTATTTTTTTGACAATTTTTTTTCCAGATATATAAGGTAAAACCAATTTAAATAAGATTAAAAATACATTTTAATGTCTCTATTCCAATCCATCAAGTATAACTTAAATAAAATATACTTCAGTGTGCAAATCATAGTCAACCCAATTATATATGAAACAAACAGCACTTTGCTTTAAAAAACTGAAGTCATAAATTTTTTTTTTGTGTCTATGATTTGCATATCCTCACACCATTGCCCAATTATTATTTGAAAAAAGGTGTAAAAAAAAATAAATTTCATAGAAATTGAAACCGAAGAAAAAAATTAAAATATGATAAAGGACCACAACAAAATTAAAATTTTAGTTTGGATTTGGGCTAAAATGATTAAAACGCAAATATGCTAGTTTTTTTTTGAGACAATCTATCAGATTTGGCCCAAAATAACAGATTCTATTTTAGTTATCACAGAATGACCCAGTTCAATAATTGAACAATGGTTTCTTTTAAAATACATTATTACACTGAGGTCCCTTCAATTTTCATAACATCTGATCTTACAATTTCTTACTAAATAAAATTCACACCAATCTAAAAAAGACAATTTGATCAAACCCAAACACAAATGGGGTTTTATTTATCAAATCTAAGGAATTGCTGCCTTTAGAATTTCAAGTCTTTATCACAATTTCTGGCCATTGGAATAGCCTTTAAAATTATAACTCACAAATGCGACTGAAAGTCCAAACTAATGCAAAGCAGAAAAAAACACTAAGTAGTAATAGTTTTGGAGATCCAAAGCTGCACTTTTTCAAGAATCTTTACTAATGTTTGAAAATTTACATCGCAAGGGGGAAAATGTTAATAAAAAAAATCTAAAATTATCAACGATAGGTTGATACATTATAAGCACTAAATAGGTTGATTTGACCATTTTGTAAACTCTTAGAACCAGCGTTCAAATTTTGAAGTTTTCATGAAAACTGTCATGGTAAGCTAGCTAGGAAAATTTTTTCAAAATCCAAGATAACTCTTAAGATACCTTTTAACATAACAAGGAAAATTAAATATTTTAATGTAATTCATTATTTTCTAAAACATGGGTTTTTAAACACTTTTGATTGGCTTGATTTTTGTATGAAGTATCAAGAACAAAGGAATACTTTGGGGAGCTCTGGGAACGAATTAATAGGCACACTATAGTTTACAATTCAACACGGAACTAATATACACATAAAAGAATTAGAGAGGGACGTACAATATACCATGGCCCTCATTTTTATAGCGAATTTCATCTCTAAAAATAAGCATGCAGATTTTGTACAAAATAAAAATGTCTTTCTATTAAGATGGTAACTGATGAAGGACTTGGTGATGTTTTGATGATTAATTGCGAGAGATTAATATCATGACGTCGTTGATACTGCCGTGGGAATTAATTCCTCTGTTCCTGTCGAATTTGAAATGTTATTATTTTCATAACTACTAGTACCGTTTTGAACAAAAGATGTTCCAAGTCCATATAAATGACCACAATATTTCGCATCGTCGATATTATCTTCAAAAAACATCTGAAAGTAGAAAAATTACAGGATATAAGCCATGGTTACAATCGTCTGTTGAAATTCAAAAACAAAGAAAAGTAGGGTGTAAAACTCCCAATTTATTTCTCTTCTGTAACCATCTGAGCTACACCCTACCCTCAACAGAGATTTTTCTTATAAAATTTCTTACCTCTCTCATTTTAAAGAAAGCCATCCCTGTTAATAAGCTATCACTACCAGCTTGATGTTGTGGACCAACTCTATCAATCTGTAATAGAAGATAGTTCCAAACAGATTTAAAATTGTTTAGAAATCTATGCAAAATACAAAACAGCATAAATATTGTAATGCATTATGAAACAAATGACTGTTAACTATCAATTCCAGATTTATTAGGTTAATTACGAAAGTCATTAATTAGTTCATAACTTGACAGGTAGACCAAAAAAGCTTTGCAGGGAAATTACTCTATGGTTCAGTCATTGCCTAAGCTTAAAGGTAATCCACCTATATAACAAAAACTTGAACTAACCTCTAACTGATCTGCTACCTCTTGAAGACCTCCCTTCAGATTTTTACAACTTTTCATTAAGTATTTTACATCATAGATGTTTGGAAAGTATAGTTGTAATAATTCAAAAAATTCTGTTTCTTCTGTTGGTAAATTAGTTCCAGTTAATAACTTCAATAAATAACCAAAATCATAACCACTGTAAGAAAAACAAAAATATGTTTAAAACTAAAACAACATGAAAAAAAAGGGGGGGAGGGGACAGAGGGGGAAGCTCAAGCTTAAGCTTTAAACTGTCAAGGTCATCTGCTCATGTTTTGTCTGATCCGTATGATTCTACAACTATCAAGGTCATCTGCTCATGTTTGTCTGATCTATGATTTTACAACTGTCAAGGTCATCTGCTCATGTTTGTCTGATCTATGATTTTACAACTGTCAAGGTCATCTGCTCATGTTTGTCTGATCTGTATGATTTTACAACTGTCAAGGTCATCTACACATGTTTGTCTGATCTGTATGATTTTCCAACTGACTCTTTTTCATTGACTCTTTTCATGATTTCCAACAAATCTTTAACAAAGGATTGACTTGAGAAGCTCTAAATCTTACCTGTGAAACGAAATAAATTTAATATCCTCTGTTAAAACAATGCCTGAGGTCATCAACAATTCAGCAAATTCATTGACATCAATACCATCCTGATCATGTTTCTCAAACTGTATACCTGATGTTCTCAATAAATCTATTGATTCTTGTGCATACATATCCGCCCTGAAATTACAACAATACATCAATTGAAGAGAGGTATGGAATTATTAAAACAGAACCTGAAACATCTTGTTACTCTGTTTAACAACATGTTTCAGGTTCTGTTCTGTCAATAAACTCATAATAAATCGGGAAAAAAACGAAATCTCATTTTCACCAATCTGTTATTTTGTATCAGATTTTTTCTACATGTCAGTAAATATTGGCCTAAACATAACAACCAACTTTGCTAGTTTGAAACTGTTAAGGGCCTGAAAGTTACATTTTTCATTTTGATAAGTGATAGTCCCTAGCAGCTGAAATATTTCTATTCCCCTTTGAAACTTACGTTAAATTGAACTTCATGTTAAACTGCCATGTACATATACTTGGTGCCGAGTCTCCTTCATCACTCAGAAATGAAAAGCCTACTTGAATGAGTTTTAATAAATCTACATTACATCTTAATAACTGGTACTGAAACTCAGCTGTACTACGAAATTCTCCTATTGGTCTAGCCACCACTCCTGGAAACTCTGTATCCTGTAAAGCATCAAAAATAAGACTGACTGTCTCCTTCACTGTGTTGAAAAAAGGGAAATAAAATGTAGAAGCTTGGATTTCAAAAACAAATTTTTTTTTTGCAATAGATACAGATGAAGCAGAGAGCCATAATAATTATGTCTTTATTCATAAAGTTGATCTTTTACCTATACCAAAAATTGGTCTGCACTACCCTTTTCTATTTGAGCAGTTCTACCATGTGTATACATCTTCAAAACCATTTCCATGACACAAATTCAAATGCTCATGTCATAAGAACAATATGAACCCAGGTCTATTCAACCTACCATTGCTACAAACTTATACTTCTGCACCACATGCCTCATACTTCGAAATTCTTCCTCCAAATTATGTTTCCACACATCCCTAATCCCATATTCTGTCTGAGCTACTGAAGGCATTTTACTAGCATAACGAACACACCAATCAAGTATAAACCTGAAAAGGTAGTTAATTCATCAAAAAACAATTGTTGAAGAGAGAGAGGCCTTATTTAATTCAAGTAATTTTCAGGTTACTGACATATTATATCAACCTTATCTAATCTTAGGTAGAATTTGAAACCATCAGGGGGGGAATTTGTAAAGGGGGGTGGGTGGTACCGCTGTAAGCCCTTTAATTGCACTCTTCAATAGTTTCACATGGCTGCTGGCAGATATAAACTTTCAAATAAACCCTGAAAGTGTTCAGGTAAAAATTTGATTTTGATTAGCCTACAAGCTTAAAAATCAGAAAGCCTGCAGAACAGCTCCTCATCTTGTTTATCGGCATATCAGTTTGATTCAAATAGTGAAACTGAGGTGCCTCATTATAGAATGGACCATTCCTTGAAAGAAAGTTATCATGTAGGCAGACTCAAATATTTTCAAACAAGTAACTTAGCTTGTAAGTAGTCTAGTACAAAAATCACTTATAAAACTAGTAAAAGAAAATAGTAGAAAAACAGCAATGACAATGCAAGAGCTCATTTTGATATGCTGATACAGGAGTATTATATGTCCATGTAAATAAATAGAATAAAGTGGCTTTCTACTTTGCAAATTTATGAATTAAATGTACACAAAAAGGGATCTTTGGCTGATGAATGGCATAAAAATTGTGTGTGTTCTGGGCATGTGCTCTATTTTTTCGTTTTCTTTTTTTTGAGCGAATTCATTGCGAATATTTTTCACTTTCATTACCCTTATATTCTTCTTTATTCTGACTTCTTATAATATAATCTGGTTCTTTGGATAATTTAAGACTGCTCAAAACAAAAAATACTTCATACTAATGAGAGTACACAGCCAAACCGCCCCAAAATGTTGCCTTCTGATGCAAATTATGAATTTTCTTTTGCCTCTTGAAGTACAACTTCCTGTACAACGAACGCATGCGTATTCTTGTAAATAGAAATGTCTGGGTATACAAGTCTACAAATACAATCTGAACATATTGTTATGTCCATGCAAATAATATCTTTAATTTGGAAAATGAAATGAAATGAATGGAGTTTTAGAACCTACTAAATTCTAATTATCCATGATGGGCAACCGTTTAGATTATACCTTCATTTCAGCTGCATGATCTAAATGGTTAATGCAACCTCAAAATCTATTGATGATCAAATTATATGTAGCTACGGTGACGACGTTGTTGAAATACCAACCAGCGGAGGAATCAGCCTCCTGACTTGGAGGGAGCAGACTGACTTAATGATGGAACAACTGTCAAGGTTCAGATTCGAAAGGCAGTAACTTGGGCGTCTTAGAGAGTTCTTCCCCAAGAACATTTTTAAAGAATGTAATTTATTCGATGCATTCTGAAATATTTTGGGGCAAAAATGAAAAAAAATTGAAGTAGGGGTACAAGCAATTATATATTTCTGAGTCAGAACGTGTGGTGTCGTGTTTTTTTTCTATCTGTAGTTTTCTGCCATCCACGTTCTGGTGAAATTCTTAAAAATCTCATGTTCCAGGTCATATAATATTCAACCGATCAAAATTGGAGTGACAACTGGCGAGCTCCGATGGCAGCAAAAGCTAACGGCTTAGCCGCATATTTTCGGCGGCTCACAGGTCTAGCTGTGCAAAGGGACAATAATATTAACTAGTTTTCTGTTACATAAAACAAATCAAACAACGAAATAAGCATCATTTTATTGATTTTGCACGAAGACTGTTGTGAATATTCATTCCCTCCACTTGTGAGATTTTTCCTTCCATTTCAGTGGTACTTGATGTTCTTCTAGAATTGGTTGTCTTAAATACTGTATCCTCTGAAACAGTTTACAAATGAGCATACTTTTAATATGCCTGCTATATATACAGAGGAGCCGCCAGCCTCTCGAGACAGGGGTTACAAATAGGGGACAGACCGACTTAATGGGGGAACAACTGTCAAGGTTGAAATTCCAAAATGCGGCAGGTCAGCGTATGCGCGAGAGGGTTCTTCCCAAGTAAATTAATGAAAAATAGCTTCAACAAGAAACATAAACTACTATTTCTGAATGTAAATCTGTATATTTAGATGCCCATATGGCTTTGCATGACTATAATATAGCGCTATTAATGAAATATCGAGTGAACATGATTGCAAGAGGAATGTCATCAGATCATAGATGACAAGTGTAAACTTACCTCCAGAATAGTCATGGACCCTCTATTTACTAGACTGTATATGATGTGAACAGGTACGATAGTTGTCAAAAGGGCCACCATTGTTATGGCAAGTATACAGACCATTTGTGGATAAACATAGTTATCATATACCAATACTTTAAGCGTTATCAGTTGATAGATAAGAACAGCCTGGAACATTACCAAGAACATATAGTTATATATTGATAAATAAGAACAGTCTGGAATATTTCCAGGAACATATTGTTATATATTGATAGATGAGAGCAGTCTAGAATATTATCAAAAACATATTGTTATATATTGATAGATAAGAACAGTCTGATTTATTACCAGGAATACATTGTTATATATTGATAGATAAGAACAGTCTGGAATATTTCCAAGAACATATAGTTATATATTGATAGATAAGAACAGTCTGGAATATTATCAGGAACATATAGTTATATATTGATAGATAAGAACAGCCTGGAATATTTCCAAGAACATATAGTTATATATTGATAGATAAGAACAGTCTGATTTATTACCAAGAACATATAGTTATATATTGATAGATAAGAGCAGTCTGGAATATTACCAGGAACATATTGTTATATATTGATAGATAAGAAGTCTGATTTATTACCAGGAACATATAGTTATATATTGATAGATAAGAACAGTCTGGAATATTACCAGGAACATATTGTTATATATTGATAGATAAGAACAGTCTGATTTATTACCAGGAACATATAGTTATATATTGATAGATAAGAACAGTCTGGAATATTACCAGGAACATATTGTTATATATTGATAGATAAGAACAGTCTGATTTATTACCAGGAACATATAGTTATATATTGATAGATAAGAACAGTTTGGAATATTACCAGGAACATATAGTTATATATTGATAGATAAGAACAGTCTGATTTATTACCAGGAACATATAGTTATATATTGATAGATAAGAACAGTCTGGAATATTACCAGGAACATATTGTTATATATTGATAGATAAGAACAGTCTGATTTATTACCAGGAACATATAGTTATATATTCATAGATAAGAACAGTCTGGAATATTACCAGGAACATATTGTTAGATATTGATAGATAAGAGCAGTCTGGAATATTACCAGCAACACATAGTTATGTATTGATAGATGAGAGCAGTCTGGAATATTATCTGGAACATATTGTTATATATTGATAGATAAGAACAGTCTGGAATATTACCAGGAACATATTGTTATATATTGATAGATAAGAACAGTCTGGAATATTATCAGGAACATATTGTTATATATTGATAGATAAGAACAGTCTGATTTATTACCAGGAACATATTGTTATATATTGGTAGATAAGAACAGTCTGGAATATTATCAAAAACATATTGTTATATATTGATAGATAAGAACAGTCTGATTTATTACCAGGAATACATTGTTATAAATTATATAGATAGATAAGAACAGTCTGGAATATTATCAGGAACATGTAGTTATAAATTGATAGATAAGAATAGTCTGGAATATTACCAGGAACATGTAGTTATAAATTCATAGATAAGAAAAGTCTGGAATATTACCAGGAACATATAGTTATATATTGATAGATGAGAGCAGCCTAAAATATTATCAGGAACATGTAGTTATAAATTGATAGATAAGAACAGTCTGGAATATTACCAGGAACATGTAGTTATAAATTGATAGATAAGAACAGTCTGGAATATTACCACGAACAAAATTATATTTCTAGACTACAAAAAGATTCTTACCAATATCATAATTGGGGATACAAATTTCCAGCAAAGTTTTAACCAAATATTCAGTCTATATCCTATCATGTGTTCAATATTATCATACAATTTGTCGGCACCTTAAAAGAAATTCATTGCTTATAAATAATTTAAAGGTATCTAAAAGAGGTTAACTAAATTTTCATAAAAATTGAGAAAACCTCTTTACAACCAAATTAACCTTTTGACCTAAAAACTAACAAAAAAAAACGAAATGAAAGTTGGGACTAATTTTAATTAGACTATTGTTCATCAATAATTAACTGACTACAAAATGACATTTTAATCAGTTAAGAAAACAAATTATTCACATGACTACATAAGAAATTGTAGATATGTATGTTTTTTTATTATAAATATATAGGCTACCGTTCAGAATTGAATGACTTGAAGGCTATTTGGAATCCAATTCCTTAAAAATTTACGCTTTAGAATTAGAGACAAATTTAAAATCAAATATTATAATTCATAAGGCTTAATGGCATCTTCATCGCGTCAAGGTATTACGAACTTCGTACATTGACAGCAATAGCCACTATTCTTGTATCACGGAATGCAGCGATTTGAATCGATCGTACGCCAATGGGGGCATCCAACGTCTCTGCAGCCCTTTGTTGATTTTAGGGGCTGGCCCGGCTTTTGCCCCACCCCACTTGCAAAATTGCTATCAATTTACATAGTGAAAGCATAGCCTGTGGCCCCTGCACGGCCCCCCTCAACTAACGTTTCCCATAAACGATACTATCCAGACAATGGCTAGATATTAACGATATACATCCGTATATGACGTCTGAGGAACTGGATAGGGCTAGAGAATACTGACCGTATACCCAGCCGATTGCAAAGGTTTCCAATAGAGCAATTATCATCACCATAGAACCACCGAATATATAGTAATCAGCGAGTAAAAATACATACATTCCACCCTACAAAATATAAGTTTGAATATCCTGCTATTTTTTACAATTTCTTCGTAATTCTGTCGATAAATTTGAATTATTTTGTATATTGGAATATTTGCTTCAATCTAATGATAGTTTGAAAATGAGATAGCATTGATAAACATAAACATGTACAGATCAAATGCGAAAATTAATAATTAAATCACATCAATTGATTGCAGCGTCATCATAACTTAACTCACTAACACTACTGTACGCGAATAAAAATAGAATATAACGATTATAACGATTATTAATATTCAATCGTTGTCATTCCAAAATCATGAACAGCCTTTGGCGCAACATAAGCTTCGATTTTTAGGTCTTTTCTGACCCAATCTGGATAATTTCTCCTTGCATTTCGCACTGAAACTTATTTAGATCGAATTAAAACGAAATTTTTGTCGGATTTCGATATGGATTACTAATCGGATTTCTAGTGCGAAACTGACCGAAATTCAGATACGACTTCATGTAGGCTAACTGCAGTGCGCAGAGTGTATTGTTTTGGCAGTATGATTTGAGCAGTATGATTTTATCAATATGAACTGAGCAGTGTGATTTGAGCAGTATGATTTGAGCAGTATGATTTAAGATTTGAACAGTATGATTTGAGTAGTTTGATTTTAGCAGTATGATTTGAGCAGTATGATTTAAGATTTAAGCAATATGATTTTAGCAGTTTGATTTCAGCAGTATGATTTGAGCAGCATGATTTAAGATTTAAGCAATATGATTTTAGCAGTTTGATTTTAGCAGTTTGATTTCAGCAGTATGATTTGAGCAGTATGATTTTAAATGTATGATTTAAGCAGTTTTAGCCCGTATTAAAACAAATTCTCACCTGTGTTATCATGGGTATGCCACATAGAAATAAGATTATACATATTGCTAAAACAAAGAGCCTTCTGTTCTGTCTCAAGTATAAAGATATATCTATTATTGATGTGTTTACTGCTTCTACCATAACGATCTGAAAATATTATTTAGAAATATATTTTCATCAGTTACGTCCCTCANACTTTTATAATAGATTTTTGTTAGATTGAACTTTCCTGTATGTAGTGCTTGTGGTATATGTTGAGCAGCTATGACGGGTATGGCACCAGGCAGGGTATGCTTACTCTTGTAGATACCTGATACCACTTTTCATGTGAAAAGTCATTAGCTGCTACCACTGTTTTGCCAACATTTTGTTTGGATTTCGGGTTTGTTTTGCAGTTCGGATAGTTTGTACTTGGTTTTTGTATTTACATGTAATAATCATGGCCTAAATAGAATTATATTAATTTTCGCCTGTCTAAATGTCTATAATACTGTTTTTGATACCAAAATAAGATCAGAAAACTTCTTTGAAATCTTTATAAAGGGAAGTCTTCAAAGTATTCGGCCTATCGATTAAAATTTTACTGATAAACCCTTCGCCCGTTACTATTGACACCATTTGACTGTTAACGTGCCTTTTTTTCACATTATCATGGGAGGAGTCCGACCCTTTGTTTTCTAAGATGCAAAGAAATAACAATGTCAAGTCAACATTTTATCCGACCACTTCCTAAAAACGCTTTGGTCAGAGCTTTGATCTATATGTTCCTTTAACAATAGTGGACAACGTCTATCATATCTAACGCTAAACGTAGTACAAAGAAAAGGCTTTCACACTGCGCTTCTACTGCGACGGAAAATTGGCTCGGAGCGTGTTAAGTTCGGCATTAGAGCGGTGGCGATCTGATCTGGAACGTGTTAAAAACGCCATGGGATCTAGAAGTCGTCAGACAAGCGTTGTAACATCGATATGAGCGATATGAAAGCACAGTACAAGCATAGCAAAGACGCTGCACAAACGTTAGAACGCAATATGATCTCATAACTTGTTGTATGAGGTCGACTGTTTTTAACTTGTACTTTTATAACGACCTTTTCTCTAGTTATCCTCATGTTTAAACGCGACATTTCTAGATTGTCGCAAATGGTCGCAGTCCGGTGTGAGGGGGCTAATATGCAAATATATAAAGCATATTTCTTCTTACTACAGAATCTATGCCAATTAAAGTCATTGTCAGGAAGAATATAAACGACCAGAACTGTGGTACAGGAAGTTGGCCTAAAGCTTGTGGATAAACAACAAACACCAAGCCAGGACCTGCAATGTAATAAACAGTAGTATCCACGGGTGTATCTAGAAAATGCCTAAAGGGGGGGGGCCCATTGGCCCACCCCCAAATTACATGTACAGTCAAATTCCACTTCCTCTACTTGCTTGTCTTCTTGCTACAATAAGGTGTCAATGGTCTAAGGTCCTAAATTCAACATTCAAAATATAAATCTATGACCAGTTTAATTCAAATTAGACTAAACTTTCATTCCGTTTTTTTTATTAGCATTTATTTCAGCCAACCCTCTTCATCACTGGGATTTTGTGACGCGAATACAGTGTAGATTTATTCAATGTCTAATGTTTCTCAGAATACACCTTTTGTTGGCGTCACAAAATCCCAGGCGGGAAATTAATTTGATTGACTGGCGGTGTCATCAAATAGACGAATGTACAAGAGGGTAGTCTTTACTAAATTCATACGAAACTACGTATGGTTCATACATGGAAATAACACACACAGCCATTTTGAATCACTACCTCGACAAAATAAGCTGAATTTTGAAAATGCTGTATTTCAACAAAGCCTTCAAATCACATTGAAAGATTTAGAAATGGATTTAGAAGTATTATTTCAATGTAAGAGCCAAAAGTAGTTTCGTATGTACTTAATCTAGACTGAATCTAGACTGAGTCTATGGTATACCTGAAGTAGCAACCTTATCAATAGGCACATTCTGTACGTAAGCCATATGTCCAAGCAAGGTAAAAATAACAAATCCAGAAAAGAAGCTGGTCAGCGAGTTCATCACACATATTATAATTGTATGCCTGTAAATAAAAAAAAGGTACAAATATCGGATGCAGTTTTTATTTAACCAGCTCACAATTTGGTTTGTTTGAAATTTGGGTTAATGAGGGGTGTGTTGTGTTCTGGAGTGAGATGCCGAGATTTGAACTACTACTAATAATAATAGGATTTATTTCGTGCACAAAGTACAATAGTTCATGTATAGTATATACAACAATTTACAATTAAGAAGCATCTCAATTATTTCATTTAAATATGAAGATCCTGGATAATTATCATCTCTTAATAGGATAAAGTCTCTGATTGCAGAGCCAACTCTTACATCCTCTTCAGAACAGTTATCACGGTCATTGCTATTCATAATGTGTCCGGAATGGCCATTTTTTTTTTTTACATGAAACGAAATATTTTAATCTGTTGTCCCACATTTTTTTTTTATTATGTGTAATTTGGACCTGTTAGGAAATCGAAACAATAGTTTTATGGTAAATTCTGGAATAAAATAAATACCAAGTACAAACGATCAGAACCGTAATACAAAATACATAAATCCATAAAACGAAACAAGACAAGTGCAATAATAAATTTGGTAATAACAAGAGTTATGTCCCTCTACTGCGTGTCTATAACGTCACCCTCTATGGCGCTGTATTTGGTTCAAAATAGGGTCCAGGTTTGATTGTATAAATTCTTAAAATCGCGTGGTCATTTCTTATGTAGAAATGACTAATCTTATAAAATTAAAGTATTTTTACGTGTTTTATCTCCTATTTTATTTACATTTTTCAATTTGAGTCTTCTAGAACCTAATTTTAACCGTAGACTTTGTAGAACGCAGAACGCGAATTTAACCTTTGAAACCTCACTACTGAATTTAAGTTTTTGGTGTAAGATTTTAGTTTTTGGGGTAATTTATTTCCGGTGGGTTCGTTTTTGCCGCATTGCCCAACATGCCGCATCGTGCCCAACTGCACAAAAAACGACTTGTTAAACGAAACTAAAGGTTTCTAATAAAATCCGGAATGGCCATTTGTTTCACATGAAACGAAATATTTTAATCTGTTTTATTTATAATTTGGATCTGTTAGGGAAATCGAAACTATAATCTTATGGTAATATCTGGAATAAAATGAATACCAAGTACAAACGAACAGAACCGTAATACAAAATACATAAATCCATAAAATGAAACAAGACAAGTTCAATAAATAAAATATTGGTCATAACTTGCAAGAGTTATGTCCCTCAACTGCTAACCTATAACGTCACCCACGTGCTAGAAAAAATGGTAACTGAAATGTCTGAAAGTAAAAATCTTCTGAATAATAAATCTGAATTATCAAGCGAGGAGAAGTTTGAAATTCTCGTATTCGATGTGCTCTATAATTCGGCAGTGGCTCAATCCCCACTGGTTCCAGATAAGTCCCAGATTGTCCTGGTGGACAAGGTACAAGCTGGGGTCGATTGGCTCCTCACTTCCGTTGGCAGTTGGAGACAAAACTGGCGAACCTGCGATTGTTTAGAAAAAATGTTCAGATGGACCCACAGGAAAATAAGTATTGCGTAATCTAAAACCGTGATCTGTGAGGGTTATATTTTGAAAACTCGACAACAGATTGAAATATATCGTTTCATGTGAAACAAATGGCCATTCCGGATTTTATAAGAAAACTTTAGTTTCGTTTTAGTCGTTTTTGTGCAGTGGGGCACGATGCGGCAAGTTGGGCAATGCGGCAAAACGAACCGACCGATTTATTTCTCATTAAAAACACGAATAATAATGATATGCAGAAAATGTCACGTGATCTAATTTAATTTCCGTAATATTCAAGGTTACGATTCAGCTAGCACGATCCAATGAAGAAAGTCGAAAGATTACGATTCAGCGAATACGATCCAGTGGAGGAGTTCTTAAGATCACGATTCAGCGAACACGATCCAGTGAAGAAAGTCGAAAGATTACGATACAGCGAACAAGATCCAGTAGTGAAGTTTCAAAGGTTAAATTCGCGTTCTGCGTTCTACAAAGTCTACGGTTAAAATTAGGTTCTAGAAGACTCAAATTGAAAAAAGTAAATAAGATAGGAGATAAAACACGTAAAAATACTTTAATTTTATAAGATTAGTCATTTCTACATAAGAAATGACCACGCGATTTTAAGAATTTATACAATCAGATCTGGATCCTATTTTGAACCAAATACAGCGCCATAACCCTCGTGCTACAAAAAATGGCAATTGAAATGCCTGAAAGTGAAAATCTTTTGAATAGTGAAAATCTTCTCAATAGTAAATCAGAATTATCAAGCGAGGAGAAATTCTCGTATCGATGTGCTCTATAATTCAGCAGTGGCTCAGTCCCCACTGGTTCCAGATAAGTCCCAGAATGACCCTGTACAAGGTAGAAGCTGGGGTTGATTGGCCCCACACTACTAACTACAAAAATCGACGATATTGCTTTGTTTAGAAAAAAGAAAAATTTAGATAGTGGACCACAGCCATATACGCCCACCACGGCATGCGGATGGTAAATATTCAAGATTCCGGGGCAAGGGCAATAACTCTGCTTCTAACGGTCGAAAATAGCTCAAATTCTAACTTGATCTTCGTTTTATGAATATGTATACACATACCGAATTGCATTTGATTCCATCAAAAAATCTAGTTTTTAGAGCGTTTACAAGCAAATGTTGACGGATGGACGGACCGACGGACGAACCGACCGACGGGCGGACGGGAGTGCCGACAATATACGTACACATAGAGAGATGTGTGCTTATAAAAATCGACGCTGGACACCATATTAAAATATTTCGTTTCATGTGAAACAAATGGCCATTCCGGATTTATCAGAAACCTTTAGTTTCGTTTTACAAGTCGTTTTTGTGCACGTTTTGGTCACGATGCGGCAAGTTGGGCAATGCGGCAAAACGAACCCACCGAACAATTCGCCAGTAAGCATAATGTGCTGGGTAAACAGAATGGAGTGGATAATACGTCTTTAATCAATAAAAAAAAGTGCACAACTACAATTATTGGATGATAAAAAAATATTTATAATATTTCAATTATTCTATTAATGGTAATAGGCCTATTAATGGATAATAATAGGCCTATTAAACCTCGTTCAGAACATCTAAAATAATTACAAATACTCAGAAATGTCCAATTAACCAAAGTAACATCTGTGTTACATTTATCTATATTATAATAAAATGTATTTCCTGAAGCCCTATATATCTATGTGCAAAAACAACAGTTGTAGGCACAATATTAAAAAAAATTATATATAACATTATGTCTATCTGGGTATAGCCTGAACATTATACTTCAGGGGAGCGTGTGTTATTCCATAGTTCCCTTTTAATGGTGGTATATTCTGTGGATCTTCAACTTGGAAATCAAACCGCTGTACTAACGTTGTCAAAAACAAAAACTGTTCCATTTTAGCCAAGCCTTCTCCTAAACAATTTCGACGACCTGAAATATTTAATATAATGTATAATATTTTAACATGAAAGTATCTAAATTGTTATAAACCAATATTTCTCTCAGAAGTCATTAATTTAATTAAAATAATACATTGTAATTCGCCCGCGTAACTGACTTGTGATAACCGCATTTCTAACTTGTTGTTTGTAAACAAACAGCAAATCGGCAAAACTCGTTTCGGTAATCTAAATCGGTCGTTTGACACACAACAGCAAGTGCATTCCGTGCAGTATAATATTTATATGACGTGACTGATCTGTGATCATTCATTTATGAACAAGAGAGGCGATAGTATGTCAGATACTGAAAGCGAGAACGAATTGTTTTTGACACAATCAAAATTTAAACCAGATGAGAATGATCTGAATGACTTTGCATTTCGTTTTGGAGAACCAATGACGGAAGAGACTGTGAAGAAGAAGTTGAAAAGTTCTGTATCGAAGCGAACCGAGGTGAAAAATACCTCGGCCATCGGTATTTTCAAGCGGTGGCTACAGGAGAGAAAGCAACGTTGTGTCAATGAAAATCTCCGTTTGCCTCCTAATTGTTTGTCACGGGGATTGCAGGACATGGAAAAGTCAGACTTGAACACCGCTCTGACATACTTTTTGTTTGAAGCCAGGAAACAGAACACCCGATCCGCACAGTGTAGGCCTTTTCTTATCTTTTGTTAGCCTTTTCAACACTCTACTAAAAGCTAATAGTTGTCTGTCAACAGTCAACAGTCAACTGTTGTTAGTCTTTGAAAGGGGCTAATAAGACAAATAATTTTCTCTTTGAGAGAGCTAATTTTACAGGATCGGGTGAACAGAACGGAGAAGTTTACCCCTCCACTACGCTATATGGAATATATGCAGCCTTCGCATCAATTGTGAGAACACTCTGCATTCTGCAATCTTTTTGAAGACGACGAATTTAACGAGGCAAGAAAGGCACTTGGTGCAGTAATCAAAGAAAGGTCTGGCCAAGGATTCGGCGCGTCAACGAGCAAGTCGACAGAAATTATATCCGAGGAAGAAGAGCAGCAACTTTGGGAGAAAGAAATACTTAGTGACTCCACCCCTCGGACACTCCTAGATACAATTTTGTACCTTACTATTTATATTTTATTCTTTACGGGGAAAGTGACATCTTTGCACTGCTTATTCAGAATTTTGCTATCTTTCCTTGAGAAAGGGACAATTACAACACAAATTCAAAGTTTAGCATGTTGCTGTTCAAAATAGATGTTGGTACTTATATTCGTGTTTTTCAACATGACTTTGTAACAATATTAAATAACCTCCCAAATTTACGGACTGTTAGATCATGTCCCCCATATGTAATGGGGTTACAGGTAACCGTTAAAGCGCAGGAATAAGGCATAGGAATTTGGAACCAAAGTGAAACTAATTCTGTAATATAAATATATAACTTTAACTTTGTTTTAGGTCTCAATTTTGCTCTGCGCGGAGGCTGTTAAAACAACCACAGATAACTGGTCCCTTCCTAGACAATAAAGGTCGTTCTCCGCTATGTAGAAGACGTCCCCAAAACGAACAATGGTGGAATAAAACAACGCAAGACCAAACTCAAGGATGTGCGAGCTTATGAGAACAACGAAAGATCGGACCGCTGTTTTATCCGGTTATATGAGAAGTCACTTTGGTAAGTTATATCTTAAAGGAGAAATGTCTATAAGAAAATCTTACCATAAATGGGCTCAATTTAACAAATGAGTAAGGTTTGAAACGCTACAATTTCATTAAATATGGTCAGAGTAACTCTTTCTTGCTGACACAGAATAGGCTATATCATATCAGGTCTTTCAAGTTTGAAATGGCTCGGTTGGCTAAGAAATCGTAAGACTAATTCATTACTCGAGACAATGATACTTTAAATAAAGTAAACAGTACACCAGGTCTATATTATATTCACTTACTTCAATATCAAGAAAATAAGTAACTTGCAAGTTAAACTTGTCTTTTATTACTGTTATTCTATTTTAGCCCTAAAACGCTGTCAGAAGGAAGGGGTTCATTCTACCTGACACTGCTGAGGAATCCCACTGACTTTCAATGGTATCGCGACATGCCGGTTGGCCACAACAGTTTGGGCGATATAGTAAAAAAGATGTGTGACAGAGCTGGCATTGGTGGAAAAAAGACCAACCACTCACTTCGTGCGACCGCTGCGACCCGTCTTTATCAAGCGAAAGTAGATGAACAAACAATTTGTGATCACACTGGGCACCGCAGTGAAGCCGTGCGTGTTTATAAACGGGCCAGTGACGACCAGAAAGCGGCTGTTTCGGAGATCCTTGCAAAGGCCACAAGAACGGAGTCTGCTTCATCTACTGTTGTGTCTGCTTCAAATATTGTTGTGAATGAACTGAACACAACTCCTAAACCTGGAATATCTCTCACGTTTAATATTCATTAAAATAAAGATTGTCCTAGCTTGTCTTTGTTCTTTAGTGGATCGAGATGTTACAAGTACTCTTGTAATACCTCCTAGCAGGTGTTACAATCAATGTAATACCTGCTTTTGGAGGTGTTACAAGCGTTGTAATACCTCCTTTGAGGTGTTACCACAAAATACCCCAAGAAAAAAGACTCAATATGGAGTCATACAAATTGCCAGGAGGTTTATAAAAGTTAGATAAACCATGTCTCCTCGGTCTCCACGGATTGTAAACACTCACCTTCGAGTGGTAATACCTCGGAGTCATGGTTTATCCTACACGTAAGCTTACTATTGAATATCAGGGAGTAAAAGGCAATAATGTAAAGGATATCATGATTTATGCAATGTCATTATTCACAGAGCCTTTGAATGACATTAAGCAATTGTGAGTTCGATATATATAGACACAGCGATTGTTGTTCCATAAAGCTGTGTCTACATGTCATTATTTATGTTTGATTCTATTTCAAGATATAATTTGATTAATTTGTTTTCCATAGATTTTTAAGGTTGATTTCCGATTCTTTTATAAATAATTTGAAATAATTTCTGATACTCCTTTTTTATTCAATTAAATCACCTTATTACCATTATCTCTTCCATTCACTCTAAATTACATCAGTTGCAAACGTATAAATAATATAATATTGTCCCTAAAAATAGCGTCACTTACCCATTGAAAATGGAATCCATTCTTCACGATGAATCACCCGGCCCATTTCATCTAAAAATCGTTCTGGACGGAAAGCACGTGCATCGCCCCAGATTTCATCAGAGGCTAAAACTGAATCAACATTTGGTAAAATAATGGCATTTTTGGGTATAAAATGACCTTGATACACAGTATCTTCTTCGACAGCACGTGGAACTCCCACCAGTACAATGTTAGCATGGCGAAGAATCTCCATATTGAAAGCTTCAAAATATGGCATGTTCACTCTATCTTTAACAGACGGTGGTCGACCTGATCCTACAACATCTTGAATTTCTTTATAGCATTTCTGGTAAACTTGTGGATAATGTAGAAAATATAAAATAGACCATAATATAGTAGTTGATATTGTCCCTGTTCCAGCTACAAATAAATCTCCAATGGCCATTTTAAGGTTGATAACTGAAATTAGAGAAGTATAGATTTAGATCACACAGTGCCACTTCCATATAGAGCCATATACAAACCATTTGAACTACCAATTTTTAATATTGTCAATAATAATTTGATCCAATGTGTTCATCCTTGATAATCCTATCAATATGTGTTTTTAACGAGTTCGAACTTTGGACGAAGTTGGATTAGGAAAAGTACATGCATATAGATACATTTCAAAGATTGGAATGGTTCTTTGCAAGTCGGGTTTTTGAAAGTCACCTATGGACTTGGGCTGGAGGTTGAGAAATTATTATATCATCTTACTTACGATCAATATTCGATGCCATGCCTGCTTTTTCATTCTTTTTCATTTCCTTCAAATAACAACTAATAAAGTCATCGGTGTTATCCTCGTCATAGTTCTTTAAATGCTCTTCAATTGCAGGTTCAACCAGTGTGGCATTTGCTTTGTAAACATTATTAATTGTTCTATGATACTTGAATAGATCTCCCGGAAGAAATCTTAAAATCGGCAAGAAATTTACCACCTGGGTAGAACCTAAAACCTGGAAATTTTCTTCAGCTTTATTTAAATATAATTGCAATGCTTTGTTGTTATAATCATGCAGTTCATATTGATTAAAAAACTTATACTATCAAAACAATTAACTTTTTTAATTATTCTGTAAAGAATGTCCCCTTCCTATCCCTGAAATTCGGCGGTGGCATTTCATTGAGACAGGCAAATTTCTCTTACCTTTATGTTTAGTAATCTCTTCAGTAATAACTAGGTGGGGTCTGTTAGAGAAAATATCACCTTTTTTGACCAGAGCATCTTTTATCACTGGATAACCATTTAATATTACAAATAACCTTGGCCCAAAATACACACTACATATATCGCCATATTTATTTCTTAGACGTCGCAATGCCAATCTAGGATCTCCATTGTCCGATTTGACAGGAGGTCACCAACTATAGGTAATGTCCATTTAGGTCCTGGTGGAAGACCACTTGGCTTTTTCAACAGCCAGTAGGTTCCACATGTCGCTGCAAATATCAATACGAGGTGTATATTGTTTCTCGGCAATAACTGCGCGTTGTCTACATCTATACCATTTACAAAGTTTGCCACCATAGTTAAAATATCCGCCATCTTCACATATAGAAACGAATAACATCAACGTTTTTAACCCACGATCAACGTTTGATATACAATACAAGTAAAAATCACTGTTATATATAGGCTATATATAATTAAACAACCTATAATAATGCCGGTGGGTTCGTTTTGCCGTTTTGATAATTGTTAGAGTCATTCAAAGAACGTTTTCTGTTTTTCGGAATTGATATTACAGCTGATAAAACAAAATTACTTGTTGAGTACCCATGACATAACATAGAGGTCAGTAATAACGACAAATGAATGAACAGAACATGAGAAGCATTAAGCAGGTGATCAGTAGATTGACCGAGGCCACCATCATATTTCCCATGTTTTAAATGCATTCCGCTTTTTAGTAAAAGAAATAATCATTATCAAAAACGTCGGAAATTATACCCGAAAATATTTCTAAAGTATGTTATTTATAATTATGTACATGTATCTACTTGATCAAACTGAATTCGTTATAAAAGGGTTAATTAAAACGGAGAGTAATAATTGTTAATTAAGCAGTTTGATCTAGTTTTGGTGTTTAGCTTCATAATGGTTCCATATTATTTGTTGAAACCCTAAGAAAAAGTAGGAGATATATTTCTCCACAATCTGATTTACTCAAATCCGTACAGCTTCCAAAAACCATAACGAACTTTAAAAGTTAACGCAAAGCTTTTTTTTTCGACCTACAAAAATGTGGAATGTCCTTTTAAGATGTGGTAACTTTCTGTTCATTTTTGTTTTCATTTTATTGCAGACAAACTTGGAAAATGTACTTCTTAGACTATGATACGGGATACTGTCTTTTTAAAATCGATAATCTCAATGTGAAAATTTTTTAATTTGATTTAATATAAAATGATCTCAACGCGGACATGAAGAAACCCCTTTTTGAAGGGTTTTGTTGTCGTATGGCTCACTGCCCTTGATAAATCATTTGATTCTTTAGACATCTTACCTATAACTGTTCTGATGAAATGTATTGTAGCTGCCCATAGCTGGCCAGATAGTAAGACCAATTGCACAGGAAAACATAACCTGGCATACTGCACTATACCAAACCTGAAAACCAACAGAATTCCCTCACAGAATTTGGTTACAATATCTCATGTCAAACCGAATACCCTTATAATGTAATTATACAATATCTGATACCAAAACAGAATACCCTTATGTAATTTGGTTACAATATCTGATACTGAACCGAATACCCTCATTGAATTTGGTTACAATATCTCATGTCAAACCGAATACCCTTATAATGTAATTTAGTAACAATATCTGATGCCAAACCGAATACCCTCATGCAATTTGGTTATCTGATGCCAAATCAAATACCCTCATGCAATCTGGTACCAATATCTTATACTTTGAATATATGAACTTACTTCAAATATTCACTTATACTTAAAATACTTACTTTTACTCGCTTACGCTTACGCTTACTTCGAGCATTCGCTTATATTGAAAATACTTACTTCAAATACTCCATTATACTGCAAATACTTACTTCAAATATTCGCTTACATTGCAAAACCTTACTTCAAATATACGCTTACATTGTAAATACTTATGTCAAATACTCGCTTTCATGGCGAATGCGTACTTTGAATGTAACTTTATACTGAAAATACAAACTTCAAATACTCACTTACACTATAAATACTTACTTCGAATATAGGTTAAACTGTAAATACTTACTTCGAATATAGGTTAAACTGTAAATACTTACTTCGAATATAAGTTTATACTGTAAATACTGCTCGATGATGCGGTGCAGTGGGTTCGAATCCACTCCGAGGTTAGAAAAAAATCTGATGCAACGGCCTGGTGTCGACTTTAACCTTCAATACTTAAATAGCATTCGCTTATAGTCTAAATACTTACCCTTTTACGCTGAACAACATTCACTCATACTCGTAATACTTACCTCCAAGCTTAACAATTTATTTAAATCAGGGTTTAGATAATACACAATTCCATTTAAAGCCCCTTCTTTCGTTGCTCCCATTACCAGTAGAACTGTTAGTAGTAAATAAGGTAGAGTTCCAGTAATATATGCTATCTGAAATACGATGAAGAAATTCTTGGTTTTAAGTGGATGTGTGGGCCGATACATAAGAATATTTGACAAAGTAATATTTAAAGGGGCAAATTCGCCATTTTTGGGGGTTATTTAGGGTCTTAAATGTATGTAAATAGTCTTTAGCATTACTAGAAATGTACGAAAATCGCATAATTCCTTCAAAAAAAAACCCCCAAATTAGAAATTTCACACTCTATTTCTATATTATATCTTACCAAATGACGATAATTCTGTACACACATTGATTTGAAGGCTAAAATTATATAACTGATTGGCTTTGTTTAAAAAAATCCCGTTTCTGAGACTAAAGTACAATTGATAAAAAACATGGCGAATCTGTTCCTTTAATATTTTCCATTTCTGTTTGTTCCTTAAGCATATACAAACCTTTGGGAGCCATATCATTCCCTTCCACATACAGATATACACTAGAACATACAGTGCTATAAGACAAACTAACAATTTCCAAACAACACTACCTGATTCTTCAAGACTAGATATTTCTAATACATAATGTCTGAAAATGAAGAAAAATAATTGGAATGTCACTCCCTACTGCACCTAATGAGCTCATGAAGACTAGCAGCGCGTGTGCAATGGGGAAAATTTGCCAGATCAGAGGCATTAGCCCGCTCTTTTTCGATTTCCATCTGTCGAGGGATTTACACAAGAACACAACACAATGGGCTTCGTTTTTACCCCTCCTGAACGACAAGACGCTTTTCCATGTGAGTCCCATATAATTTTTAAGATAGTTATTTATAATACAGTATATCATATCTCAAAGAGTCAAAGTTTAATGTTCAGCTTTAAGGTTACCTACCTCCAGAATTCAATAGCCGGACTAACGTTTGTGATGTTAAGTATGGAACTAGTGGCATTCCATTCCACCCTTTCTGACGTATTGAAAACAAACTCAGAACAACTGGAAAAAGATTTTCGTTTCTAATTAATGCAATATTTGGTGCCAGCTTTCACTAAAACTGTTTTTTAGTGTTTAACTATATCGTGCATTTAATATTTGTCAACTGTCAGAAGAGTTTTAATCAGATTCAATCAAGAGTAGACCAAACTTTCGTTCCGTTTTTATAATTAGCTTTGAATTTTAATATAGCCACTTCCGTAAGGTTCTAAGGACAGCCCCCCTTGGACGTCTGTGAAATTAACCTTTTGACCTAACTCGATGACGCCTGCTTGTACCTGGAGGATATTCAGATCAGAGCCGTATATGGAGAGAGTCTGGCCAACTTGTGATCTCGCCGCGCTGAACCATGATTGGCGCAGAGCGGTCACGTGATTGAAGGCCGCCATATTGTTACCCTTCCCGCGACGTTTAGGCGTAGGAGCCTAGGTATTCTTTACGTTGTTTAAGCCTAATTCCTGGTCTTGTCTGGCAACAGAATGCCTCGATGTGTGGCATGGAAATGCTCTGTCAAATCTGGAGAAGGTATAGTGATGCACAGGTTCCCTAAGGATAAAAGGAGACGCAGAGAATGGGAAGTAAAGGTCAAACGATCCGACTGGACTCCCCACGACAACTCTTTTCTATGCGATGTAAGTACATTCGATGATTTCAGGGGTTTTGCAAATCGTGTTATGTTCAGGTCTAAAAACAGGATATAATAGATATGGAAACTTTGTGAGAGGGTTTCATTCCACGCACTGGCTATCTAAGCCTAGGCCTAGGCCTAAACGAGGAGCATGCACTTGGCTTCTGAGACACTGTCAACAACATTTCTGATAGGCCTACACTTAATCGATCGATTTATGTTTTTCTATGAATGTGAAATTCTAAGACAATTTACTTATTTAGTATTTAGTATAATTTACTTCCAATCACCAAAACAAACAGTATAATTTAAAGGTGTGCGCCATATTGGTGCTTGTACGGTGAGGCAAGGAGCCATGGCTCGTAAAATTTGTGCTGGTCCGGATTTTCACACTAAGTCTTTTGGGCTAGTCACTTGTGTAAATTTTGGTTTCTCTTCTAGAATCACTTCGACGACAGTCAAAGAGGAACAGATCGCCAGGACAACAGCCACCAGCTGAAGCAAAATGCTGTGCCAAACATTTTCCCTCACAACCCATGGAAACTACCACAGAGGAAACCATCATCTGCTCGACACACGCTTATTAATCAACAACCAGCAAGTAAATCCTACAAAGATGAACATTCATACTGTTCTCAGAATCCGATGATAAACGAATCGGAGTCAGACAATGATACTAAAGAATACGGAACTACATGTGATATGAACGTGTCTGAATCAATTAATGTGGAAGCTGGAACAAAGAGGATACAATCATTAGAGCAGGAAGTTATTTCTTTACGGACAAATCTGCGCAATGAACAGATACAAAAAAGAAAAGCCATCAAAGAAAAGAACAGTTTTCAAAGAAAATTAAAGAAGGTTTCCAATGCTGATTAGTTGGTCAAGATAGCAAAACAATCAACAAGAGGATGCAAATGATCTGATGATACGTACAAAAAGGCTCTGAAAATGCGATTCGTCTGCATCAGGAATGCAGGGGAAAGCGATAGTCTACAGGGTTACAACTCGGTAGAGAGATTGATAAACTCCGCTGAAACAGTCCTCACTGATGATCATATTCCGGATTGCCATCACATGCGCACCAAACTGTTGACTAAATTTTTTAATGTTCGATTGTACATTTTGGCTAGAATGGAAAATAGGAATCGATCTTCCAAGGCTGAAGCAAACTTGAATGTTGATGAGAAACTTGGCAGCAAATCTGTTGCTATGAGGGCCATGGTTTCAAAGCTGAAATGATGATTATTGAGTGGTGTGATGTAACTTTCATGCCTTCATGACATAAAATAGATTGTGTTGATTGAACCTGAATTATGAGCCTTTTTCTGTTCAGGCCCACAAGTAAAAGAGACAGGGGTGGGGAGTGGGGTGGGGCGGCGTCTCCCTGGAATTATTTTCAAATAATAAAGGTTTAATATTTCGGTGGTTAATATTTGGAAAGTGCTAAAATTCAAAATTTCTCTTCTTTTTGTGTTTTTGTATAGACATACCAAATTTTATCAAAATCGGTTAAAAACTGTAAATTCTAGAGCGTTTACGATGGATAACGTCGGCCGTCTTGTAGCTAAGAGAAGGCAACAAGGTGGCGCCTTGTGACGTAGTTGGCCAGACTCTCATATACGGCTTATGTAGGTTACTTGTTGTCTGAGTACTAGACAGAGTACAGTCCCTTGATTCTGGGAATTCAATCATGTCTGATATGTTTAGTTCATTCTTATGTATAACCATGTTTAGTTTATAATATAATAGTTCACTGTAGAAGTCTTCTTCTTAAGTGTTCAGATAAGAACATACCAGTACCAATCAAATTTCTACCCTCTTCAGCGCTGGCATTTTGTGACGCGATGTTTATCAGGTTATAGGTCAAAAAGTTTATTTCAAGAACTTTCAAGATGACTGTCAAGTGGTTATACAAAAAATGAAAAATGAAAAAAAAAAATAAATAAATAAAAAACGAAAGTTTGTTTTCATCTTAATTACACTGAATCAGGTTGAAAAGTTTTTTTTTTAGTTAGATACTCACTTCCGTGTGTTCCATGTATTATTACAATGAGTCCATTGTAAAGGATTGTGAAAGGATGTTCCGAGATACATCAAACACCACACAAATATTATCATATAGTACGCTGTTTCTCCATACGAAAACACTGCTGTTAAAATTCCAAGGCCTAAAACCACAAACAGAATATTCAGGTATAAGAATCATATAAGTGAAATGATGTCACAATGTAAACAAAAACCCATACGTTTGTGTACCGACGGGAGAAAGGATTTATCTCGCCTCTTTCGTTAATTTTGAAGTCATCTCACACGTCCCTTAGATTTACCTGAATCAATGATAATGCGCCGAATATTAGTGTGCCTAAAAAGAGCGAGCCTCAATTAATACGTGCTTTATTGAAGATGTGCCTAAATTACTGTGGCTTGATAACGTTGTGCCTAAATGTCTTGTACCTAAATGACCCTGTTCCTAGACCAAAGTGTTTTAACAGGCTTGTGCTTAAAATGTTTGGGCGATCAACTTGACTAAACTTGGTCAATGAATCAACATCAACAATCAAGACAATCCATCAAAAATATATTTGACATAGTGACAAATTCACAAAGTCTTATATTATTATTATATACCTTTAAAAAGAGGACATATTTTCCACATTCCGATAGCACTCTGTTTCATATACTGTCCCACCACTACCTCTAGATACATTATAGGAAAACCAACAGTTGCCACTGCTATCATATATGGTATCAAAAAGGCACCTTCAATATAAAGTTATAAAAGTTGGTTTAAAAAAAAAAGAAAATGTGAATAAGCATAGGTATACGCAGTTGCGTCGCCAGTAGGGGAAGAGAGGGAGGACAGGTGAGGGATGCATTTGACCCCAATTTGTACCTCCAATTTAAGGAGACTAGCGCCATCTGTTTGAATAGTCTCAGAAACGGGATTTTGCTAAGCCAATCAGTAAAAGATTTCACAGCTCACCGTCAAAATTTGAGCTTTCAAATCTATGCGTGTCCAGAATTATCCGCGTTTGAACGTTAAAATGACGACTCGTCATTTCTTGAGACCTTAACATAATTATATAGAAAAGATATGTAGAAATAGAAAGTGAAATTGCTAGTTTGGGGATTTATACGAATTATGTGATTTTCTGAAAACTATTTACATTTATGTAAGACCGAAATCAACCCCCGAAAATAGCGAATCTGTCCCTTTAACCAAATTTGTAATGTTGGATTGATCAGAATCCATTTAGGTTACCAAAATTAAAAAGGAAATGATTTACCTCCGCCCATTTTGTAACAGAGATACGGAAACCTCCAAATATTTCCAAAACCCACAGTACAGGCTACACAAGTAATAATAAAATCAAGACTTCTCATCCATGTTTCTCTTGGCTTCTCAGTTCCTGTAGTCGTCGTCGTCTCGGGTAAAACTATTTTTTCTTCTTCTCTGATGTCGACTAACTCCATATTCAGGAATCTGTCAGTAGAAGTAGTAGAGGATTGTGCTTCTGTTCCAGCCTCTGATAGCTATTTTGAAAGTTGCCTGCTGGTGTGGGGGTTTTAAACTTATTTATTTGAATCGGATACTACAAACCCAAATTTATTCGGAAAATTGGATACTGTTGTAGTTCAGTCATACCTTCAAAGTCCCCCTAGTAGTATATGTCTTTTCGGATATGACGCATTTCACTTCTGCGCATGCGCAGCTTTTTCAATGCATCATATCCGAAAAGACACAACTGCTAAAATGTATTATAACAGACTCCCCAAACTGTATTATAACAGACTCCCCAAACTGTTAAAAATGTATTATAACAGACTCCCCAAACTGTATTATAACAGACTCCATATAAATTACCCAAACCACAGATCACTAATAATAATACAGTAAAAAATAACCGCATTAAAAATGTCTTTAATTTTAAAACACGAAAAAAAAATTCGAAGGAGACGGTTTCTTCTCTGCGCTAACATCTCTCATCCCCAAAGTGGCCAAACAACAAATTTCCTCCTTGTATTAAATCTTTCGTATTAAAAATATATGTCTTTAATAAATGTCCATCCTCCTAAAACGTATTTCGGTGCAGGAGACATTCAAAAGTCATTGGGTTCTCTTCCTGGATTCCCATGGGCAAAATATCCCGGAGAAAAACATCTCCCAGGCCACAATTATACAGGTCCAGGCACGAGATTAGATCTGCGTTTAGACGAAAATGATAATCCCAAACCAGGGGAAGAACCCGTTAATAGAGTTGACGCAGCAGCGCTCAAACACGACATACTGTACAGAAATAAAGACGTAACATTCAGACACCAAGCAGACAAACAAATGATAGACGAACTCGAAAATATTCCCAATCCCACTTTCAAAGAGAAATTACAGAGGGCTCTTATCATAAAACTCTTGAAGGCAAAATTGAAATTGGGTATGGGCATAGCAGACGAGATTCACAAAGAATTTCGAAAAAACAAACATTACCTCAAAGTCAAAGTTTTTGATAAAGATGAAATTTGGTCAGCCGATTTAATCAACATGCCAGTCTAGAGAGGGTACAAGTATTGTTTGACGGTGATCGACATATACACGAGATACGCTTGGGTCTTTCCCTTGAAAAACAAATCGGGTCTGACTGTCAAACAAGCATTCGAAACCATAATGAAACAATCCGACAGACGACCCCTAAAGTTGTGGGTTGATAAAGGAAGCGAATTCTACAACAGAAATGTGAAATCTCTGGGGTTTGAAATTTACAGCACGCATAACG